ATATTTTTAAATACAACACCTCTAAATCATCAACAACAAGAAAATATGTCCATAGCAGCACACCTCATCACTCACTTCTAAACAATATGAAAGACAGACCAATTAGGCACATCCTTGGAATATCCTCATTAGAGGTTTCCAGCCACTCTCTGTCAACACTGAGAGTCCAGTAATTGTAGCTGAAAGGAGCTAATTGAGTAAGATATTACTTGAAAGCTGCAGACAGAAATAGACCTCTCAGTGTGCGTGTGTGTGTGTTTTAATTGAGGACATGTCTCTGCTGTATCCACTGCTGGTGCCACTCTCTTACAAAGACACGGTGATGACTGTAATCAATTCAGCTCCTGCTCATTGTGTTCTGTCACATATTTAGTCTTCTCTTGTTGGGCTTTAAAGTTCAAAAATGTATTTGTGAGTAAGTGATATAAGCTATGTACGCAGCACAGGTGCCCGTTCTTTCCTATAAATGGACTACCAATTTAGTGAACCTGCTAAATTAAAAAACATATACATTATAAGACTCTGATAGGGCATATACTTATAGAAATATGTTTCCCTCAACTGCATACTTCATTGCGTATTTGTGCCTTTATGTCTGGAGCCTCGAATTTAGCCCCATTTTTAGTGCTGCCAAGACAAGTTTTTGTTACGTGACTATATTGTGACTGCATCATTTAGTTAAAGACTGTAGCCTTCATGTTCAGTGTTGAGTAAAAACATACCCCATTAAAGTAGTGATCAACTACTCCACTAATGCGTGCCAGTCTTGAAATAAAAAGTTAATATCTGTTGATAAGTTCTAACTTTTGGCCCCGATATTGTGTGATGACAGCTTGTAGAGGGCATCTCATGAATATCACATTTCTAAAAGACAAAAGTGACGATTCTGTATGACGGTACTGATGACACACGTAACTTGTGAATAGGTGCTTGGAAAAGTAAAGACAGCGCTAGACTGCTTTTAATTTGTTATCATGAGATAATGAAGTCGTGATCAGGGGAACAGCAGGTATCTTGGAGATAATTAGACTGTGTTATTGATAATGAGCCTGTGTTTCATCAGCAAGTACAAGTACCTAAAGAGTTGGGTATAGTGTACCTTAGGCCCTTTGTCTCCTTGAGGCCCTGGCGGTCCCGGTGGTCCCATATCACCGTCCCTTCCTGGACTTCCTGCTGACCCCTTGAAACCTGGGAAACCTGGGAAACCTGCTGCACCCTGAATTCATTAAAAGAAAAATTTGATCACAGTGACTAAACCACTGTAAAGTTACATCATTATATAAATATAAACATATTTCACAATCTTTTAATAGGATATAAAAATAAACTCTAGGATAAAAAAATCACAGGTCATATGGCTTTGAATTGACAAACCTTTTCCCCTTTTACTCCAGGATCACCATCAACACCATTGATCCCCCCTTCTCCCTTGTCCCCCTAACATTTCACAAAATGAGAAACAGTAACTGATTTGTGTGTGTGTGTGTGTGTGTGTGTGTGTGTGTGTGTGTGTGTGTGTGTGTGTGTGTGTGTGTGTGTGTGTGTGTGTGTGTGTG